CTCGAGTACGTTGATGTGGTCGTCTCGCCGCCAGCGGGTCGGCCCACGCGCTGCTCGGGGGTGTGATGGCTACGGCCTTGGACGACGTGGAGCCGGTTGCCCTTCCTGGCAGGCTTGTCGCGCCGCCTCCCCATGCGTCGAACGCAGATGCGGTGGATAGGCGGCCGCCAATCGCGTCCAAAGAACGCCCTCGGGGGCGAACCCGCGCAGCGTCTGCTGCTGGTGCCCGCCAGGACAGCCGCGAGATAATCTGCCCAGCTCGGCCACGTTGGTGAGTAGGCGCGTCGGCTTCAGCCACCTGGCCCCATGCGCGCAATAGACCAGCGTCACTTCCAGTACGCCCTCCAAGCCCCCAATCTCGAGGAACTCCGGAAGGCCCCAGAGCATGGAGGCGACGGGGTTCTCCACGCTGAAGCCGACGCCGGCCCGCGTGCAGGCCCGGACCAGACGAGCCGTTGCCCGCGCCAAGCGATTGCCCTCCTCGGCCTTTCGCCTTCGCGTGGGCGTCAGCCCCGGCAGGCCGTAGATGTGCTCTCCCTTCCGTTGCAGGGCTGGCCGTTTGGCTCTCGACGAAGTCGCGCAGGGCGGGGCAAAATGCAACTTGAAGAAGAAGAAGAAGAAGAAGAAGAAGAAAAGAAGAAGAAGAAGAAGAAGAAGCCGCCAGGAGGAGCCTCTCCAGGTGCTCCACGAAGCGGCGGTTCGTCAGGTCGCGGCACGAGTCCCGCGCCGAATCGACGCAGACCGTCCTGCAGCGGCACGCCTGGGCCACCGCCGAACCGAAACCTCCCATGCCAGCGAAGACGCCCCCCATCGCGCGGGGGCAGGCCGTGGAAGGCGGCTCGCAGACCACCTCGACTCCCTTGAGGCGCATCTCCTTCTCGTTGAGGTCCTCGTCGTCGTCGGTCTGCTCCACCTCGTCGCACACCTGCGCCGCCTGGCGCGATCACCTTCGGGAGGCTTCCTCCCGCACTTCCGCGGGGAAGGCCTCCGCGCGGGTGATCCCGAACCCTCCTCGCTCGCATCCGAGGCGAAGACCGTGGACGACCAGCTGCGCTTCAGCGGGGTCCGCAGCATGGGGCCAGGTAGCACGGGGCCCTCAGTTCTCCTATCACGGAGACCATACGGACAACGCCTGATCCGACATGTCGTGCTTCATGACAAATTTGAATGTCACGTTCATGATGCTGAGCCCCGCGCGGGCGCGCATCAGCACCCGCGCCCAGCTGCCGTGCCGGCCAAGCGCGAGAGAGCCTTCGTGGAGCAGCGGCGCTTGTCGATCACGAACGTGGTTGCCGCGATCAGCAGCTGGAATTTCTCGGTCGCCGGCTCCAGGTCCGAGGTCCGCCCGTCGATCCTGACGCCCAGTGTCGAAGGGACCCCCGCCGCTGCTCCATCGTTGTGCATCGGCAGGCCCACCTCCGCCAGGCGGGCGCGCATGGCCTCCCGCGCCCTCTCCACCTTGTCCAGCTCGGAAGGCAGGCCCAGGCTCACGTCGAAGACGTCGCCCGTGTAGATCCAGCAGAGCTGGGCGGCCCTCCGGAAGGCGGGCGGCGGCTCCGGAGCGGCCATTTGGCCCTCCACCGGAAAAGGTTGCTGCCCTGTCATAATGTCCTCGAGAGCGTTGCGGCACATGGCCGGGGGCCAGCTGGAGCCCATCCACATCATTCGAGGACAGAGGAAAGCGCCACCCTGGAGGCAGGGGCCAGAGATTCCACGCAGGCGGAGCTCCCCGCGTAGTTCCTCTGGGGTGATCCCGTCCAACTCCATGTACGGCCACAGCCAAGGCGGCGCCAGGCAGCGGTGGAAGTAGTCGGGGACGTCCCCCCAAGCGCTCAGCAACGTCTTGCCCTCCAAGACCTCCTCGCTCAGCTCCAGGTGCCCGATGGCCGCTGGCGTGCCCAGCCGGAGGTTCGGAGGGCGCCGGAAGAACTTGTTGACTGCACGCATATCCCAGACAGACCTCAGCAGCAGCTCGCCATCCTCGACCTTCTTCATCACGAAGAACACTGAGATGATGCACACTCGCTCGTCGGTCGTGCCCAACATCCCCGCCTCGTAGAGGGCCACCGCCAGCTCGAGCTTCTTGGACTTGGTGCGGAGGTGGGGGTCCATGTACGTCTGGGTCTGCCTGATCTCGTCGAGGTCGACCAGGTCAGGTGGGGCGGCTTCAGCATGGCAGCTTCAGTAGGGGGTCCCTGATTCGGGTGCGAGCCGAATCCTCCATCACGCCGCCCAGGAACAGCAATTAGGAAAAGTTGGTGACCTGGCCCGGTCGTCAAAAACGAGCGCGAGACCTCGAGAATGCGCGGAGACGTCCGCGCAAGGCTTATTCTGGATTCGCCTTCTGGTCGGCCAGCTTGTCCAGCGTGTTCTGGAGCAGGGCCTGTTGTGCCAACCTCTCGCGGAGCTCCTTCTCCACGCCCTCGATCAGAACGTCCTCGTCGCTGCACTTCGTGGGGTCGAGCTCCGCGAGCACGAGGTCGTTCACCTTGGACTTCCACCCCTGCGGCTGCTTGGGCGCTCGCCAGTCGTGCGAGGACCGCACCATCTCGAAGTCCCGCTCGATCGCGTGCATGCGGCGAAATGCGATCTCCGTCGTCTTGTGGTTGATCCACTCGGCGGGCGCCTCGACCATTCTCCTGTCGATCAGCATCGCCACCATCAGGAGCTCGTCGGCCAAATGGTTCCCATCCAGCTCCTTGGTCCAAATGAACTCCTTCCGCCATCAGTACCGCCGTGCCCCCGCTCCGGTAGATCCTGGCAATCATGCGCGGCGTCACCCGCGTCTTGATGCCCCCCGCGAGCGTTCAGGCCCATTCCTCCCGGTAGGCCTCCAGCTTCTCCTTGGCCACCGACCTCATATTCTTGAACGAGTCTTCCAAACCCTTCAACAGTCCCTCGATCTCCGACGACGGAGACGTCTGACGACCTGCAGGGGGCTCGGAGGTCGAGGCTTCCAGTCGGGACCCACTCCCGATGCCTCCATGCCCCCGGAATCCCGCATGATCAACGCTCGGTGCTGATCCATGCGACGCAGGAGCCGATTCATCATCTCGTCGTAGCTGTCGGAGCTCGCGGTAGCTCGGGCCGAACTGGCTGCCTCGGCTGGCGGGGCCGCCGCAGGAGCTACCTTCTTTCGCTCCAGGGCCTCCAGGCGCGACGACACCTCGGCGAGCCGCTCCAGCATCTCCTCCTCGGGGGACGGGGTCTCGTCGATGTCGCTCATATCCAGGCCGTCGTCACGTCGAACGGGAGAAGGGGTCGGTCAAGCGCTCCCACAGGCTGCGGGTGGTTCCCTCTGGCAAGCCAGTCGTGGAGCCTTGATCCCTCGCGATCGGCGAAGTCGACCTCCCTCGGGTGCAGCAGCAGGTCCAGACCGAGAAGAGCATAATCCCCGCGATGATGTACACCTCCTCCTCGTGCAGGTTCATGACCACCTCCATCTGCTCATTGACGTCCTCGACGGTGTCCACGGCCTCCTTTATGCGATTGCACGACAAACTGACCCACTCCAAGGCCCTGCTCGCCACACAAACGCGCTAAGTGACGAAGAGACCAGGGGCCACGCTCCCCCAGTCACGACGAAGGAAGAAGAAGCCAGCGGCCTCGGTCGCCCAGCTTACTCCCCACCAGAAGATCTTCTCCCCGAACTTGCCCTTTCTCTTCGGCGACTGGCCCTTGGCGTCGGGGGCGGGCCCGCGCTTCACCTGGATGGCCTTCGTCGTGTTCTGCTCCACCACCAGGCGGTCGGCCGCCTGCAGCACCTCGGTTTTCTCCTTTGGGGCCAGCCCAAGGAACGTGCCGTGGGCGACCTTGGGAAACGGCTTCAACCACACGTTGGCGGCGGCCAGATCCACGACCTGCACCCGCCCGTTGGGGCACACCACGACCCACCGCTTCTCGCCCGGAGTCGTGGTGAACTTCGTCACGAGGAGGCAGATCAGCCCCGCAGTGTTGTTGGTCTTCAGGTAGACCCGAGTCCAACGCGTCGCCGCCATCTCGTAGTCTTCCAGGTCCGCCAAGGAAGGCTGTGCTGGCTGCTCCAGCTAGAGCTCCTCCAAGTCGTCGCGATCGCAAGTGGCTAGGTCTCCTGGATGGGGTCGGAGTAGATGGGGTCGGATGATCGCGCCGCATCGTCGATGCATCGCCGATGCAGCTCGAGGTGGAGCCTGATTTCCTTCACGTCGACGTCGCCGATGCATCGCCCACGTCGACGCCCCATCGCCGGTGCATCCCCGGTGCATCCCCGATGCATCGCCGATGCATCGCCGATGTATCGGCGATGCGGCGCGGTCCTCCGACCCCGTCTGCTCCGACCCATCCAGGATCCCTCTAAGGTGTCCTCCTCCAGCCACGACAGCAGCGACGAGGCGGGTTCCTGTCGCCCAGGCGCTCCAGGCCACGAGCAGGGCCAGCCCGCCACCACGCCACGGCAGGCCACCGGCACGCGCGGCGGCCCACGTCGCGCCAGCGGCTGCCCCACGGGGGCGCCGCCGGAAGGGAGGATCCCCTCGTGGCGGCGAGAAGTGGCAGGATCCTCAAAGCCCCTCGAGCTTGAAAGCCCTTGAGCAACAGTGGTAACAGGATAGAGATGATCAGTGACCATGGCCCCCTTTGTGAAACGATACCGTTTAAATCCCGAGACAGCTATACCCCAGACAGGTATACCCCAGACGTTTCATGGATCGGGCGTCTTGAACTCAACTCTAAAGACGGAAACCGACCCCAGAAAAAACGTCACCCAAGGCCTCAAGGTGATTTTTTTGAGGTGGCCCTGTTTTGCAGCCTCAGGTCGGTATGCTTGCGGCCTAGAACTCGACGAGAGCGCCAGAGGAAGACCCGTTCAGCGAACATGAATGTAGAGAGAGAGAGAGAGAGAGAGGGAGAGAGAGATGGAGAGAAGCGGGAAGCTCCCTCCTCCCTCCTATTTTCCCGCTCTGGGGGGGGGGGGGGAAGGGTGGTGTAGGCGGCGGGGGGCCGCCACCAGAACGAGCGGGCAGGAACTGGAGCGGGCCGGGTACGACCTGCACGCGATCTGCATGTCCGCCGCTCGGCTCCCATGGCGGTCCAGGCATGCCGAAGGTCAACTCGTCGCGCTTCTGATCTCCCCACCTGCCCATTCAGAGACCCTGCCCATGAAAGGCGATTGGAAAAGGGACGAGGAGACACACAACCATCGGTCGTTGAAAGTAAATCTGGTTGGATTCCCAGGTTCCAATCTACTTCAAGCGCCTTCCTATTTCAATGATCGAGTGGCTTCACAACCCAATCTATTTTCAACGCCTTCCTATTTCATGTTTCTGTCTACTCACGATCAATAAAAATAACACAAAGCGGGCAACCAGGGTGCACAGGGAGATCTCTGGGAGCAAGGGGGGTGGCTTTGGAGGGCCTCTTCGGGCCATCCCTGGTGCCCGCGCGGGGACGAGGGAAGGTGGAGGAGGAGGAGGAGGAGGAGGAGGAGGACGACGACGACGACCACGATAACGAGGAAGAGGAGGAACAGGAAAAGGAAGACGATGAGGGTAAGGACGAGGACTAGGAAGAGGAGTAAAAAGAAACGGAAGACGATGAGGGCAAGGACGAGGACGAGGACGAGGACGATGAGGAGGAGTAGGAGGAGGAGGAGGAGGAGGAGGAGTAGGACGAGGACGAGGACAGAGCCGTCGAAATCGCTTCCTGGATGGAGCCTTCTGTGGATTTTCTTGGGGGATCTTGTGGCCCTCTTGGGGCCCTTTCGAGGGGTCTCGGGGCCCACTTAGGGCCTTCTTTGGGGTCCCGTGGGAGCCCTGAAGGGCCTGTTGGGGCTATCTTGGAGGACATCGATCAAAGGGACGGTTCCCGATGTTCGTCCCACCCTTGCGGCCATCACAATCGCCTCTTGGAGCCCTCTTGAGACGCTCCTGGGCCGATCCTGGGCGCTCTTGGGGCTGTTTGGGGGTCTTCTTTGGCCCTTCGTGGGGCTCTCTTCGGTCATCTTAGGGACCTCAAAAGCGCGTCTGAAGCGGAAAGGTGAAAAGGCACAGACGATTGATTTAGACGTGTTTGAAGGATGTTGGCCTGTCAGGGGGGGTCCCGAGGGGGCTCCGAGATCACTGGACACCGTCTTGTGGCCCTCGTCGAGCCTCTTGGAGGCATGTCGGAAGCTATCTTGAAAGATCTTCGGCTATCTTGAGCCGCCTTGGAGACCATCTTGGAGCATCGGAGGACCTCTTGGAGCTCTCTTGTGCCATCTTGGGCGCCCTGACCGATCGCAACCCCCGCAACAAAAAACCTCAGGGAGGGGAAGGGCCCCTCTCCTCGAAGGGAAGACGGTTTTTGGAAGAGGAAAGAGAGAACTCGCTCGACCACCTTAGCCGAAAGGGCCGGCGGGATTAACGTCAGACAGTAATTCACGAAAGCTCTTGCTCGACTTGCCTTGAATACGTCTCGGCGACTAGCGCCCAACAATATGCCATAACACCAAATAGCGGCCGGTAGCACCGAGCAGCGCTCTAATGGCTCCCAATAGCGACCAGCAATGCCCAATAGCGCCATGCGAGGAGGATGCCATGTGTCCGCTTTGCGCGCGATTTTGCGCGCTATTGGCGCCGTGGGGATGACCAAAAGCTTCCGTGAGCTGCTTTCCAATCAAAGGGGGAGGCTCGAGGTATGCGGACGTTCGCTTTGGTTGTAGGCAGTATTCGGGCACCGAGATGGCTTTCAGCGGCTGGGACTCGCCGAGAGTGTCCTGAGGGTGTCGGAATTGTACCGAACGGCCGCCGGAGATTCGAGTCATGCCCCGAAGGCAAGGGTGTCCGTGGTGCCTGGAGGTTCGGCAGCGTCGCGGTCGGTTGCGTTCGGTTTCGGTCCAGCCGTTGGTTGCGTCGTCGCCGCGTCGTTGCTTCCTCCTCGGCTGCTTCCGGCAGGTTCCTCTTCGGTCGGTGTCTGGTTTCGTCGTCGGTTCGGGGCGGTTTTCGACTACACTGTCGCCGTGGACGGCGCTGGGAGGGGAGGAGATGGCAGGAGGGGAGGGGGCATGAGGGGTGTGGGGTGGATGAAGGGTAGGGCCAGGATGGAAGGATGGAGGAGGGCTTCTCGATTCTCCGCGACAGGGTGTTTTCGATCTGCTCGGCGATCGCAGCGAGAAGGGGGATGAACATAGCATCTGCGCCCGTTCAGATCATCCGTGCTGGTCTGAAGGTACCGCGTGGTTATGCTTCACGTGGCGAGCTATTAGTCTCACTGTCGGGCCCCCCCTGACCCTTCTAGACATGTGAAGGCGATGACGCATGATGCTTCGCACACGCCTCAGTGACGGTCGAAACTGGGCCAACGGGTAGAGCAGCAGTATATCGAGAGGCTGCGCACCTTCGCCACTTTCCTTTTGGAAGCGGCGTGGGTTATCTGCACTGTCTTCCAGGGGAAGTCATCATATTGACACGTTACAATGCATTCTTGATCTTGTTTTTTTTTCACTTGGCGCGTAACCGCCGTTGTTACCAGGGCCAACGACCCCCCGTGTAACGGTAGCGATCGTAAGAAGGGGGGATCGCATGACAGACCAATCCCAACCGATTGGTACCAATTCCAACCGTCGGTGTTTTTTTCAGCAGACCGAACAACCAATTGATACCTATTGCAGCCAGTCCTCTCAAGCCGAAGACTAGGATTCAGACGATGAAGCGTTAAAGACGATTCAGAAATTAAATGCAGCTCTTACGTGTAGACATTTGTTCTGGCAGACAAGATGAGTGCCAGAGTTGGAGGGTGTGCTAGTTTGTTGTCTTCCATCTCGGAGCTGTGCGGCGTTGACACATTATTAAAAGCGGCCGCCTAGCTGGTTGTACGGACAAAAGAAGAACAGGCCTCATGCGCGCAAGTTGCACATCATAGGTGTCTACTGCAACAGGGGTACCCGGCTTTTGCGTAGACGTCGTCGTAGTGGTGATCGTAAGCATAGTACTAATTCTAGGAATCGTGGCAGCAGCAGTAGTAGCAGTATTATTATTATTATTATCATTATTATCATTATTATTATTATTATTATTATTATTATCATTATTATTATTTTTATTAATATAATTATTATTAGTATTCTTTATATTATTATTAGTATTATTATTACTATTAATAATAATATTATTATTATTATTACTATTAGTACTATTATTGTTATTGTTATTCCCAACCCTCCTGCGTTGCGTTCTCGTTTTGAATAGAGCACTGCTCGCGCGAACCTTCCTTCCCACCCCCCCCGTCCCTCTCTTCCCCCCTGCCTTGGACCTCGCCATCCCTGGGGGGGGGCGATCCGCGAAACTGTCGCCAGTTTCGAGGGCTGCTGGGGGGCCCAGCACAGTGGGTACACACGGCGGATTCAAATTGCACCTCGCCATCCCTGGGGGGCTGCGATCTGTGAAACTGTCGCCATTTTCGAGGCCTGCTGGGGGGCCCAGCGCAGTGGGTACACACGGCGGATTCAAATTTGACCTCGCCATCCCTGGGGGGCTGCGATCTGCGAAACTGTCGCCACTTTCGATGGCTGCTGGGGGGCCCAGCACAGTGGGTACACACGGCGGATTCAAATTTGACCTCGCCATCCCTGGGGGGCTGCGATCTGCGAAACTGTCGCCACTTTCGAGGGCTGCTGGGGCGCCCAGCACAGTGGGCACACACGGCGGACCCAAATGGGACCTCGCCATCCCTGGGGGGCTGCGATCTGTGAAACTGTCGCCACTTTCGAGGGCTGCTTGGGGCGGGGACCTCGGGGGGCTGCCGGTCGCCCAGCACAGTGGGTACCCACGGCGGATTCAAATGTGACCTCGCCATCCCTGGGGGCTGCGATCTGTGAAACTGTCGCCACTTTCGAGGCCTGCTGGGGGGCCCAGCACAGTGGGTACACGGCGGACTCAAATGTGACCTCGCCATCCCTGGGGGGCTGCGATTTGTGAAACTGTCGCCACTTTCGAGGCCTGCTGGGGGGCCCAGCACAGTGGGTACCACGGCGGACTCAAATGGACCTCGCCATCCCTGGGGGGCTGCGATCTGTGAAACGTCGCCACTTTCGAGGCCTGCTGGGGGCCCAGCACAGTGGGTACCACGGCGGATTCAAATTGACCTCGCCATCCCTGGGGGGCTGCGATCTGTGAAACTGTCGCCACTTTCGAGGCCTGCTGGGGGGCCCAGCACAGTGGGTACCCACGGCGGACTCAAATTGAACCTCGCCATCCCTGGGGGGCTGCGATCTGTGAAACTGTCGCCACTTTCGCGGCCTGCTGGGGTGCCCAGCACAGTGGGTACCCACGGCGGACTCACATGGGACATCGCCATCCCTGGGGGGCTGCGATCTGTGAAACTGTCGCCACTTTCGAGGGCTGCTGGGGGGCCCAGCACAGTGGGTACACACGGCGGATTCAAATTTGACCTCGCCATCCCTGGGGGGCTGCGATCTGTGAAACTGTCGCCACTTTCGCGGCCTGCTGGGGGGCCCGGCACAGTGACGCCACACGCAGATTCAAATTAGACCTCGCCGTCCCTGGGGGGCTGCGATTTGTGAAACTGTCGCCACGTTCGAGGCCTGCTGGGGGGCCCAGCACAGTGGGTACACACGGCGGATTCAAATTTGACCTCGCCATCCCTGGGGGGCTGCGATCTGTGAAACCGTCGCCACTTTCGCGGCCTGCTGGGGGGCCCGGCACAGTGACGCCACACGCAGATTCAAATTAGACCTCGCCGTCCCTGGGGGGCTGCGATCTGTGAAACCGTCGCCACTTTCGAGGCCTGCTTGCGGGGCCCAGCACAGTGGCGCCTCCCAAGTAGCCTACACATCACATTGATTGTCCATACAAGTTTCGGCCAACTTTTCGTTTCCATTGATACAAATGGTTGGGTACGTCACAGGGTAATTCCCAACCCTCCTGCGTTGGGTTCTCGTGTTGAATAGAGCACTGCTCGCGCGAACCTTCCTTCCCGCCTCCGGTCCCTCTCTTCCCCCCTGCCTTTCGCCTCGCTCGTCGCTGCGTGCCAGCTGGGGGGCTGCGATATGCGAAACTGTCGCCACTT